CCGAGAAGCCCCCCCCCCCCTGCCTGCTGGGAGGGCCTTCTCCTCCTCACTCGCCCCCCCTCGCTCGCGGCCGAGAGGAGGCGCGGAAGAAGAAGGCGGGCGGCCGCTGCCGCTGCCGCCGCCGCCGCCGTCCCGTTCTGCTGGCGGCTTCAGGAGGCCCTTCGGGGCGGAGGGCTCGAGGTCTCAGTTCGAGCTCCCCCTCTTGGACCCCTCTGGTCACCACCCACCAACCCCCCCCCAACCCAACCCGAAGGCCTCAATTTGCCCTCCATTTCCAGTTGGGGGGGGGTCGGGGAACATTGAGAAAACACATATGGAACCCGTGCCCCCCCCCACCTGAAATTCGGGTCTTCGGGTCGGGTTGGGGTGGTCTGGCAGGGACCCCTCTGGGGGCCCTCCGAGGGCCCTCTCTGGCAGTCTTGGGGGCTTCTTGGGCCGTCTTAGGGGCTCTCTTGGAGCGCCTCGGGGCCCTCTTGGGGGGCGGGGAAGAAGAAGGCGGGCGGCCGCCGCCGTTGCCGCCGCCGCCGCCCCTTCCTCACAGGGGCAGCGATGGGGGGGGGATAAGCTCAGAGGGGAGCGCATCGACCCCAAACCGCCCTTGCGTCGCCGATAGGGGCCCAACAGCCCACCCGCCCAGGATCGTGCGAGCTTGCCACCGGGGGCCTGTCACCGATCTATCGGCGATGTGTGTCGCCGCTTCGAGCTCGATGTCGCCTCCCGGAGCTGCCCCCCCCTCCTACCGTTGTCCCTCATCCCCGTCCCTCCCTCGAAGGGCAGCCAACGACATACACGTGGCTCCTCGGAGCTCCGCGCGGATCTCTCGGATCGGCGTCTGTCCCTCCTGGGGGGGCCTCGGGCGCCGCCCCCTGGAGCGCTCCGCGCGCCAGGACTTCCGAGAGGGTATGTTTGCGCAGTTCTAGCGGGCGAAGACTGGCATGACATAAGCTTTTCTGCCGTCGGGGACGCCTGCCCCCCGGGCGGCTGGAAAGTTTATACTCCTGCGGGGGCCCTCTTGAGGGTTGTTTGGGGGCCTTCTGGGGCCTCTTTTGGAACTTTTGGGGCCTCTTGAGGCATCTTGGGGGCCTGCTGGCGGCGGAGGGCTCGAAATCTCAATTCGAGTTCCCCCTCTTGGACCCCTCTGGGGGCCCTCTGAGGGCCCTCTTGGGCCGTCTGGGGCGCTTCTTGGGCTGGGATGCTTCTTGAGCTGTCTTGGACGTCGTGCGGGCTGAAAAGTCGCATATGATAAAAAGTATAGGTCTCCGATGGGAATGGGACGGTGATTACCTCTTGGAGCTCTGTTGGGAGGGCTCTTGGAGGCCTCTTTTGGGGCGTCTAGGAGCCCTCCTGGGCCGTCTGGAGGCCATCTGGAGCTTCTTGGACCGATCGCTCGGCGACTCGGGGCCCTCCTGTCCCGTCTGAAAGGCCTCTTGGAGCTCTCTTGGCCTGTCTTTGTGGCCTCTTGTTGCACTCTGAAGCCATTTGGGGCCCTCCTGGGAGCTCGCGACCCAGTTCCCCCGCCGGTCCCAAAATCAAGGCATATCCGTTTTCTATGTGTACAGATATCGAATGTATAAGTACAGCTATATCTGTACCTATACGATCACCCTTCGGGTGATAAGGAGGTTGGAGGTTGGGGGGACAGAACCAGCTGCTGGCAAACGCGATGGGTGTGATGATGACGATGATGGTGACGCGCCCTCGAGTTAGCGACGACGCGTGATGACGATGTCGCGCTGTGATGTAATGTCACTATCGTCCCCGCTGTCTATCTCACAACCAATGTCACAATCAACCTCACTGTCGATCTTACTTTTGATTCCACTTTCCACTCCGTTTTAGCGATCTCATTATCGATCCCACTATCGACTTCACAATCGGTACCAAGGCGAGACACCGCCGGCCACCGCCCGCCCACCACAGACGGAACACCGACGGGACACCGACGGGACACCGACGGGACACCACGGCGGGACACACTGGGCCACCGCGCGCCCACCAGGGTCGGAGGGGCGGTCCACTGTATCCGAATCGCCCTGGCGACGGCGGGGTTCTTCCTCCCGCGCGCCTACGCAGCTTCGCCTCGACCGCACGCACGACACGAACACGAAGCCGAGGCTCTCCGTTCAGCTACGATCTCAGCATCCAACCTCCGATACACATCAGGGCTGGACCGAAGCGCTGTTCTGTTGCACTTCGGCTGTGTTTTGTTTTTCGTTTCGGCAGGGAGGTTCAGGAAAAACATATCGAGCAGAACGAAACACAAAACGAAAACAAAACGAAAAACAACGTTTAGCTCCAGCCCTGACCTCCATGGCTCTCCGCGAGGGTCCCGGGGCTCGGGGGAGCGCGCTGGGGACCGTTTGGGGGGGACTGGGACCCCCAAGACGCCGCCTAAGACGGCCGCGATAGCCCCGAGACGGCTCAAGATGGCGCCATCAACGTTGAAGAGGCTCCCCTGAGGCCCCGAGAAGGCTCTAGGAGGAAGCCCCAGAGGCCCCTGGCAAGCAGAAATCAGTTTGTTCCTCAGGCGTGTCCTAGAGAATTTTGCTGTTTACTTGAGCTTGAAAGCTTAGCCAGTAAGTGGAGCTGGACTGTCGGGGAGGCGTTTTCGCTAGGAGCGTCCTCACAATTCTTGTCAGAAAATGCAAGTGTTTCAGCTGGTCTCGTTTTCGTGTTGCCAGAACTGCACTTCTGGGCCTTATTTAGAGGGTCCGCAGCCCAGCGTTTAGTGCTGCTCATGCAGACTCTTGCTCCGGCTCTGCATTCAGCTCCAGCTCCAGCTCTCGTTCCGCCTCGACTCCAGCCTCTGAGGCGATCTTGGGGTCCTATTGGGCCAGCTCGGGGCCCATTTCGGGGGTCTCATGGGCCGTCTTGGAGCTATCATGGAGAGGCCTCTTGGGCCGTCTCGGGGGCGAGGAACACCACTTGGGCGGTCCCGGTGTCCTTCTGGTTGCCTCGGAAGCCGTCCTCTCGAGAGCCGTCTTCTCCGTCCAGAGGCCGGGAGAGAGCGCCGGTAAGCAACTGCAGGTGTTGGGGGAGGGCGGGCGATTTTCTAAGGGGGGGCGCGACGAGGAGGGGGTCGGCCCTAGAGAGACGAGAGAAAACCTTCCGAAGAAAGGATACGCATTCCAGATACGCCCATTTCGTGCAGGCACGGTGGTAGATGTAATCTTTAGTATCGACATGTTTTCTAGATCTGGCAACACACTTATTCTTTGATATCTCAGATCTTCATATCGATCTATCGAGAGGGAATGAGCGTGATACATAGAGAGTGAGACCAATCACTAGTCACATCGCGTCACGGGTGGTGATATCGATATCGAGCTTTGGAATGAGATCGTCAGGCATACAGATAGATACATATTCACATCTATCTGCGCTCGCGCTCAGCTTTGCTCTCGCTCGGGCGCTCACATGGGGGCCTGCCAGCTGGGCCTCCCAATGGGTGAGCCGCCTGGGGGTATGACGCTGGTGCGTTCGCGCCCAGATTGTTGGGGCCGCTCAGGCATGGCATTTGCCCCGCCCACCCCCTCAGAGCCAGCCGCACCCAATCACCTAAATTCATATGTTGTACCGTGCAGGCTCACTCATGGCTCACCCATTCTCAGCCAGACTTCCTCACGTTCAGAGTCGCTCGTACTCAGGCCTCGGACAATCATAATGGAAAACGCTCGAACATGCATGCACGCACGGGGATCGTCGCGTCGACTCGTTGGGAACAGGTGGGCCCCGCAAGCGCCACAGCTGGGCCTCCGAGGGCCCCGAGGGGGCGCTAAGGGAGTCCTCGTACAGTTCTTCGTGGCCCTGGATGGCCCGAAGGCGTCCCTGGACGGCCCCCAGAGGCCGCGAAGACGTCCTAGGAGGGCGCCAACCCTGACCAGCCGAACTCTGAGAGAACCTTCAGAGGCCTCGAAGACGACCCGAGAGGGCGCCACGAGCACCTCAAGATGAGTTCAGAGGGCTCCACGGCAGCTCCAATGAAGATCCGAGGCGGCCCCAAGCGTTCCCAGGGAGAACCCGGGCCAGGACAGGCCACTGACCTCGCGCCCTCGTCTAGGAGAGTGTGCTTCCTGTCCCCGAGCGGACCTCGCGACGGCGAGCGTGCGCAGCGTGCGAGCCGTTCGTTGATTCATCGCAGCGATGAGCTAGAGGGAATGTCAAGGGTATCGGTGGCCATGCCCCAAGAGCCGACGCGCCCTGCTTAAGGCACAGTCGGTGGCCTGTCGATCAAAGAGGCCCGCAGAGGCGTCAAGGTAGCCCTCGAGGGCGCCAAGCGGCCACCAAGATGGCCCCGAAGGGCTCCAGGAGAGCCCCCAGGTTCTTCAGGCCAGGATGCCCCAGGTATGGTGCCAAGCATCCACTTTCGAGACTCTCAGCTTTCAGCTCCAGATGGCTCCGAGACGGGCCCCAGATGCCTCCAAACGGGCCCAAGAGGCCCTCTGGAGCCCCCAACAGGGCCCAGGCGCCCCCGAGATGGCCGAAGATCGCCTCCACGCCTCCAGAAGGGCCCCGCAACGGCTCCAAGACAGCCCCCCAGAATCAAACCTGTTCCTCACCCCGTCCTCTGCAGCCTTTTGTTGGCCCGAATATTTTTGTCCTTGTTCTTTTTTAAAGCCGGGCGTTCAGCCCACATCTTCGCATTAAACCCGACCTCCCCTCGTTGAAACACCACAAGACAATGGCGCACTCCGGTATCGCCGCGCTCGTGGCCGCCTTCGCCGCTGGCCTGGTGGCCTGCCAGCTAAGCAGCGCCTTCGTGGCGACGCCTCTTGGTCGGCGTGGGCTTGATAGCCACATGGAGCCGGCCCCGGTTTCCGCGGCTCCCGGCGCGGCTCCCGCCTCTCAGTCGGCGGCGCCCGTCGGAGTCGGCCTTACAATGATCGGGGCGTCCGTGGCCTTCGCCCTGCTCGCCAGGGGTGCGCTGTCCAGCGCTGGCAGGGAGGCGCGCGCGCAGGGCCCCGCGCAGCACAGGGTCGTGATGGCGGCGTTCGAGAGCGAGCTGGGCGTGCAGGACCCCGTGGGCTTCTGGGACCCGGCCGGGTTCACGGCGGATGGTAGCACGGAGAACTTCGCCAGGAGGCGCCAGACAGAGCTCAAGCACGGCCGCGTGAGCATGCTGGCGACGATGGGTTACATCACGCCCGAACTCACCGGCAAGCTGCCCGGCTACTTGTCGCCGTCGGCTGGCCTGAAGTTCGCGGACATCCCGAATGGGCTCGGGGCGATCTCCAAGGTTCTAGGCCTCCTAGATGGGGTTCGAGTAGATGGGGTCGGATGATCGCGCCGCCTCGCCGATGTATCGACGATGCGGCTCGATGTGGAGCCCGTGTTTCCCCGCACCGACGTCGCTGATGCATCGCTGACGTCGTCGATGCATCGCCGATGCATCGCCGATGCATCGCCGATGCATCGCTGATGTATCGGCGATGCAGCGCGACCCTCCGACCATAGTTACTCCGACCCCATCTATGAGGCCTCTTAAGGTTCCCGCGGCGGGCTGGGCGCAGATCGTGGCGTACGGCGCGTTCTGCGAGCTGTCCCAGGACCAGTCCGCTGGCACCGCTGCCGCCGCAGGCGACTTCGGCTTCAAGGTGCTGACGTCCAGTGACGCCGGGGAGAAGCAGAAGAAGTTGGCGGCAGAGATCGCCAACGGTCGCCTGGCCATGATGGCTATCATCGGAATGTTTTTCCAGGACGGCTTGACCGGCTCCGCGTGGGGCGACTGGGCGCTCTACACCGGATCCCCGCTGCGCGCGTTCGAGAGCGAGCTGGGCGTGCAGGACCCCGTGGGCTTCTGGGACCCTGCCGGGTTCACGGCGGATGGTAGCACGGAGAATTTCGCCAGGAGGCGCCAGACAGAGCTCAAGCACGGCCGCGTGAGCATGCTGGCGACGATGGGTTATATCACGCCCGAAATCACCGGCAAGCTGCCCGGCTACTTGTCGCCGTCGGCTGGCCTGAAGTTCGCGGACATCCCGAATGGGCTCGGGGCGATCTCCAAGGTTCTAGGCCTCTAGATGGGGTCGAGTAGATGGGGTCGGAGGATCGCGCCTCCTCGCCGATGTATCGTACGATGCGGCTCGAGTGGCAGCCCGTTTCCCGCACCGACGTCGCCGATGCATCGCGGACGTCGTCGATGCATCGCCGATGCATCGACGATGCATCGCCGGATGATCGCCTGATGTATCGGCAATGCGCGTGACCTTCCGACCATAGTACAATAAATAAAATTACTCCCACCCCATCTAGGAGGCCTCTAAAGGTTCCCGCGGCGGGCTGGGCGCAGATCGTGGCGTACGGCGCGTTCTGCGAGCTGTCCCAGGACCAGTCCGCTGGCACCGCTGCCGCCGCAGGCGACTTCGGCTTCAAGGTGCTGACGTCCAGTGACGCCGGGGAGAAGCAGAAGAAGTTGGCGGCAGAGATTGCCAACGGCCGCCTTGCCATGATGGCTATCGGCACGGCGGAACTACGAATATTGGCAACAGACGGGTAGAGTGTTCTTGCGCGCGCGTGCGAGCGTTTGAGTATTGCATGTGCCTGGCGTGTATTTGCTTGCGTGTGTGAGGGCATATTGGTGAATGTGTGTATGTGCGTGTATTAAGGGCAAATTGGTGAATGTGCGTGCTTGTGTGAGTTTACGCGGAAGGGCTGTGGGGCATGCGTGGAAAAAGAGATGCCAAGTCCAGCATGGGATATTGTGCTGGGGGGCGCGCCCGTAGTTCTCACCGGCCTACGCCCTGCTCCCGGGGCCGGGGTGCCGGGTGTGGCCGCCAACCACGCCGGCGCGTCCACAGACCGCCGAGTCGGACGGGAGCACTCCGCGCTTGGAGGCAGGCGCCGCGAGTTACGGCGCCAACTCAGGCTCATAAGTGCCCAAACCTCCCGGTTGAGCTGGGGGCAACGCCCGTCGGGTGCCCAGGGGGCCCTTGGGTCGAGCGCTCGCGAGCGACAGCGATGGCGCCCGAGGGGCGGCCAACCCACAGGCGGGGGTGCTACTTGGGTTCCCCCCGGCCCGGGCAGCACCGAACGTCGCCCCTTGGGGACCTGCGCTTGGTGCGGTGGGGGTTGCGCCTGGGGGGACAACGTCTTGTTCTGATCACTTTTTGCTCCTCACTGCTATATGTCGGCTGAACTCTTTGTGCGGGGCGGGAGGGCACGGCTCGCTGCCATGTCTGCACGGGGGCGGTTGGATTCGTGGAATCTTCCCCCGTGCAACGGGCAGCGTGAGGCCGGTATCCGCCTGATCACCGGGAACCGGCGAGGGCGTGGTGTTGCGTTTGGTCTGGGCGTGATCCTTAAGGTGTCTCCCCGTGGTGTTGCGCAGGAGCAGCTGCTCCAGAGTGATCTCCCTCTTCATGTATTCGAACTGCGTGGTATGGGGGGTCGGAAGGGGGGTGGGGGAAACGACAGGGGGTGCCGCGTCATTCGGCGAGCCTGTCTGTCGAAACGTCGCCGCCTTCTAGGTCGCCCCTCCTTGCGCTGGAGTGTAGCCTTGTACTGCACTCCGGGGGCGGGGGCCTTGTGCCCTGACGACGTGGAGTCCACTCCCCGGCGCCGGGAGGTGGCCTTGTACCGCCTCCCAGGGAGTGGTCTCCTTCTCGACCGGCAGGGGAGCGACTCTGGATTCCGAACTGAGGCGGCCCTTCCTTGGGCCCGAAATAGCATGAGTGCTTCGAGGTATGCGTGTCTTGTATGTGTATGTGCGTGTGTGGACACGTGTGTGTGTGTGTGTGCGTGTATGTGGACACAGCGTGCGGGGCGCACTTGTGGGAGTACGTGATCCACTGTGTTATTGTGCCAATATTCGATTTCCCGCGGGTGCCTCAATCATCGGCATGTTCTTCCAGGACGGGCGTTGCAAGGCTCCACATCCTGATGATGCGCCATCACTCCCAGCATGGGCTCTGGTTATGGAAGAAAAAGGCCCCCGCGCCTCGTTCCTCCTGGTCGTCCCTCCCTCCCTCGCCCCCTCTGCTCGGGTCTGGGGTCGGGGGGGGGCCGGGGTCTTGGGGTTGCTGGGGCGACGGAGGGCGGCTCCATGAGCCTACATCCCCTCCCAGCACGAGCACGAGCATGATGGCTATCATCGGAATGTTTTTCCAGGACGGTTTGACTGGCTCCGCGTGGGGCGACTGGGCGCTCTACACCGGATCCCCGCTGCGCGCGTTCGAGAGCGAGCTGGGCGTGCAGGACCCCGTGGGCTTCTGGGACCCTGCCGGGTTCACGGCGGATGGTAGCACGGAGAACTTCGCCAGGAGGCGCCAGACAGAGCTCAAGCACGGCCGCGTGAGCATGCTGGCGACGATGGGTTACATCACGCCCGAAATCACCGGCAAGCTGCCCGGCTATTTGTCGCCGTCGGCTGGCCTGAAGTTCGCGGACATCCCGAATGGGCTCGGGGCGATCTCCAAGGTTCTAGGCCTCCTAGATGGGGTTCGAGTAGATGGGGTCGGAGGATCGCGCCGCCTCGCCGATGTATCGACGATGCGGCTCGATGTGGAGCCCGTGTTTCCCCGCACCGACGTCGCCGATGCATCGCTGACGTCGTCGATGCATCGCCGATGCATTGCCGATGCCATCGCCGATGCATCGCTGATGCATCGGCGATGCAGCGCGTACTCTCCCACCCCATCTAGGAGGCCTCTAAAGGTTCCCGCGGCGGGCTGGGCGCAGATCGTGGCGTACGGCGCGTTCTGCGAGCTGTCCCAGGACCAGTCCGCTGGCACCGCTGCCGCCGCAGGCGACTTCGGCTTCAAGGTGCTGACGTCCAGTGACGCCGGGGAGAAGCAGAAGAAGTTGGCGGCAGAGATTGCCAACGGCCGCCTTGCCATGATGGCTATCATCGGAATGTTTTTCCAGGACGGTTTGACTGGCTCCGCGTGGGGCGACTGGGCGCTCTACACCGGATCCCCGCTGCGCGCGTTCGAGAGCGAGCTGGGCGTGCAGGACCCCGTGGGCTTCTGGGATCCTGCCGGGTTCACGGCGGATGGTAGCACGGAGAACTTCGCCAGGAGGCGCCAGACAGAGCTCAAGCACGGCCGCGTGAGCATGCTGGCGACGATGGGTTACATCACGCCCGAAATCACCGGCAAGCTGCCCGGCTATTTGTCGCCGTCGGCTGGCCTGAAGTTCGCGGACATCCCGAATGGGCTCGGGGCGATCTCCAAGGTTCTAGGCCTCCTAGATGGGGTTCGAGTAGATGGGGTCGGAGGATCGCGCCGCATCGCCGATGTATCGACGATGCGGCTCGATGTGGAGCCCGTGTTTCCCCGCACCGACGTCGCCGATGCATCGCTGACGTCGTCGATGCATCGCCAGCGCATCGCCGATGCATCGCCGATGCATCGCATGATGCTATGTATCGGCGATGCAGCGCGACCCTCCGACCATAGTTACTCCCACCCCATCTAGGAGGCCTCTAAAGGTTCCCGCGGCGGGCTGGGCGCAGATCGTGGCGTACGGCGCGTTCTGCGAGCTGTCCCAGGACCAGTCCGCTGGCACCGCTGCCGCCGCAGGCGACTTCGGCTTCAAGGTGCTGACGTCCAGTGACGCCGGGGAGAAGCAGAAGAAGTTGGCGGCAGAGATTGCCAACGGCCGCCTTGCCATGATGGCATCATCGGAATGTTTTTCCAGGACGGTTTGACTGGCTCCGCGTGGGGCGACTGGGCGCTCTACACCGGATCCCCGCTGCGCGCGTTCGAGAGCGAGCTGGGCGTGCAGGACCCCGTGGCTTCTGGGATCCTGCCGGGTTCACGGCGGATGGTAGCACGGAGAACTTCGCCAGGAGGCGCCAGACAGAGCTCAAGCACGGCCGCGTGAGCATGCTGGCGACGATGGGTTACATCACGCCCGAAATCACCGGCAAGCTGCCCGGCTATTTGTCGCCGTCGGCTGGCCTGAAGTTCGCGGACATCCCGAATGGGCTCGGGGCGATCTCCAAGGTTCTAGGCCTCCTAGATGGGGTTCGAGTAGATGGGGTCGGAGGATCGCGCCGCATCGCCGATGTATCGACGATGCGGCTCGATGTGGAGCCCGTGTTTCCCCGCACCGACGTCGCCGATGCATCGCTGACGTCGTCGATGCATCGCCGATCGCCGATGCATCGCCGATGCATCGCTGATGTATCGGCGATGCAGCGCGTACTCCCACCCCATCTAGGAGGCCTCTAAAGGTTCCCGCGGCGGGCTGGGCGCAGATCGTGGCGTACGGCGCGTTCTGCGAGCTGTCCCAGGACCAGTCCGCTGGCACCGCTGCCGCCGCAGGCGACTTCGGCTTCAAGGTGCTGACGTCCAGTGACGCCGGGGAGAAGCAGAAGAAGTTGGCGGCAGAGATTGCCAACGGCCGCCTTGCCATGATGGCTATCATCGGAATGTTTTTCCAGGACGGTTTGACTGGCTCCGCGTGGGGCGACTGGGCGCTCTACACCGGATCCCCGCTGCGCGCGTTCGAGAGCGAGCTGGGCGTGCAGGACCCCGTGGGCTTCTGGGACCCTGCCGGGTTCACGGCGGATGGTAGCACGGAGAACTTCGCCAGGAGGCGCCAGACAGAGCTCAAGCACGGCCGCGTGAGCATGCTGGCGACGATGGGTTACATCACGCCCGAAATCACCGGCAAGCTGCCCGGCTATTTGTCGCCGTCGGCTGGCCTGAAGTTCGCGGACATCCCGAATGGGCTCGGGGCGATCTCCAAGGTTCTAGGCCTCCTAGATGGGGTTCGAGTAGATGGGGTCGGAGGATCGCGCCGCATCGCCGATGTATCGACGATGCGGCTCGATGTGGAGCCCGTGTTTCCCCGCACCGACGTCGCCGATGCATCGCTGACGTCGTCGATGCATCGCCAGCGCATCGCCGATGCATCGCCGATGCATCGCTGATGTATCGGCGATGCAGCGCGACCCTCCGACCATAGTTACTCCCACCCCATCTAGGAGGCCTCTAAAGGTTCCCGCGGCGGGCTGGGCGCAGATCGTGGCGTACGGCGCGTTCTGCGAGCTGTCCCAGGACCAGTCCGCTGGCACCGCTGCCGCCGCAGGCGACTTCGGCTTCAAGGTGCTGACGTCCAGTGACGCCGGGGAGAAGCAGAAGAAGTTGGCGGCAGAGATTGCCAACGGTCGCCTTGCCATGATGGCTATCATCGGAATGTTTTTCCAGGACGGTTTGACCGGCTCCGCGTGGGGCGACTGGGCGCTCTACACTGGATCCCCGCTGCGCGCGTTCGAGAGCGAGCTGGGCGTGCAGGACCCCGTGGGCTTTTGGGACCCTGCCGGGTTCACGGCGGATGGTAGCACGGCGAATTTCGCCAGGAGGCGCCAGACAGAGCTCAAGCACGGCCGCGTGAGCATGCTGGCGACGATGGGTTACATCACGCCCGAAATCACCGGCAAGCTGCCCGGCTACTTGTCGCCGTCGGCTGGCCTGAAGTTCGCGGACATCCCGAATGGGCTCGGGGCGATCTCCAAGGTTCTAGGCCTCCTAGATGGGGTTCGAGTAGATGGGGTCGGAGGATCGCGCCGCATCGCCGATGTATCGACGATGCGGCTCGATGTGGAGCCCGTGTTTCCCCGCACCGACGTCGCCGATGCATCGCTGACGTCGTCGATGCATCGCCATGCATCGCCGATGCATCGCCGATGCATCGCTGATGTATCGGCGATGCAGCGCGACCCTCCGACCATAGTTACTCCCACCCCATCTAGGAGGCCTCTAAAGGTTCCCGCGGCGGGCTGGGCGCAGATCGTGGCGTACGGCGCGTTCTGCGAGCTGTCCCAGGACCAGTCCGCTGGCACCGCTGCCGCCGCAGGCGACTTCGGCTTCAAGGTGCTGACGTCCAGTGACGCTGGGGAGAAGCAGAAGAAGTTGGCGGCAGAGATTGCCAACGGTCGCCTTGCCATGATGGCTATCATCGGAATGTTTTTCCAGGACGGTTTGACTGGCTCCGCGTGGGGCGACTGGGCGCTCTACACCGGATCCCCGCTGCGCGCGTTCGAGAGCGAGCTGGGCGTGCAGGACCCCGTGGGCTTCTGGGACCCTGCCGGGTTCACGGCGGATGGTAGCACGGAGAACTTCGCCAGGAGGCGCCAGACAGAGCTCAAGCACGGCCGCGTGAGCATGCTGGCGACGATGGGTTACATCACGCCCGAAATCACTGGCAAGCTGCCCGGCTACTTGTCGCCTTCGGCTGGCCTGAAGTTCGCGGACATCCCGAATGGGCTCGGGGCGATCTCCAAGGTTCTAGGCCTCCTAGATGGGGTCCGAGTAGATGGGGTCGGAGGATCGCGCCGCATCGCCGATGCATCGGCGATGCGGCTCGATGTGGAGCCGGTGTTTCCCCGCACCGACGTCGCCGACGCATCGGTGACGTCGTCGATGCATCGCCGGCGCATCGCCGATGCATCGCCGATGCATCGCCGACGTATCGGCGATGCAGCGCGATCCTCCGACCACATCTACTCCGACCCCATCTAGGAGGCCTCTAAAGGTTCCCGCGGCGGGCTGGGCGCAGATCGTGGCGTACGGCGCGTTCTGCGAGCTGTCCCAGGACCAGTCCGCTGGCACCGCTGCCGCCGCAGGCGACTTCGGCTTCAAGGTGCTGACGTCCAGTGACGCTGGGGAGAAGCAGAAGAAGTTGGCGGCAGAGATTGCCAACGGTCGCCTTGCCATGATGGCTATCATCGGAATGTTTTTCCAGGACGGTTTGACTGGCTCCGCGTGGGGCGACTGGGCGCTCTACACCGGATCCCCGCTGCGCGCGTTCGAGAGCGAGCTGGGCGTGCAGGACCCCGTGGGCTTCTGGGACCCTGCCGGGTTCACGGCGGATGGTAGCACGGAGAACTTCGCCAGGAGGCGCCAGACAGAGCTCAAGCACGGCCGCGTGAGCATGCTGGCGACGATGGGTTACATCACGCCCGAAATCACCGGCAAGCTGCCCGGCTACTTGTCGCCTTCGGCTGGCCTGAAGTTCGCGGACATCCCGAATGGGCTCGGGGCGATCTCCAAGGTTCTAGGCCTCCTAGATGGGGTCCCAGTAGATGGGGTCGGAGGATCGCGCCGCATCGCCGACGCATCGACGATTCGGCTCGATGTGGAGCCCGCGTTTCCCCGCACCGACGTCGCCGATGCATCGCTGACGTCGTCGATGCATCGCCGGCGCATCGCCGATGCATCGCCGATGCATCGCTGATGTATCGGCGATGCAGCGCGATCCTCCGACCACATCTACTCCGACACCATCTAGGAGGCCTCTGAAGGTTCCCGCGGCGGGCTGGGCGCAGATCGTGGCGTACGGCGCGTTCTGCGAGCTGTCCCAGGACCAGTCCGCTGGCACTGCTGCCGCCGCAGGCGACTTCGGCTTCAAGGTGCTGACGTCCAGTGACGCCGGGGAGAAGCAGAAGAAGTTGGCGGCAGAGATCGCCAACGGTCGCCTGGCCATGATGGCTATCATCGGAATGTTCTTCCAGGACGGCTTGACCGGCTCCGCGTGGGGCGACTGGGCGCTCTACACCGGATCCCCGCTGCGCGCGTTCGAGAGCGAGCTGGGCGTGCAGGCCCCTTTCGGGTACTGGGATCCGGCTGGGCTGAGCAAGGACGGCGACACGGAGGCGTTCAAGAGGCGCCGCGTCACCGAGATCAAGCACGGTCGCGTATCCATGTGGGCGTGCATGGGCTACATCACTCCTGAGTATTTCAAGTGGCCTGGCTACTGCTCGCCGTCTAAGGGCCTCAAGTTCGCGGACATCCCCAACGGTCTTGCGGCGCTGTCCAAGGTCCCTGGAGCGGGCTGGTGCCAGATCTTCCTGTTCTGCGGCCTGCTCGAGAAGGGCCTGTTCGTGTACGACCCGTCGAGGGCTCCAGGCGATTACGAGAACGGTGGCGTGCTGGGCGTGCCCAACGGCAGTACTTTGCCTGCTGGGGAGCTCAAATCCCGCAAGCTGAATGCCGAGATCGCTAACGGAAGGCTGGCGATGATGGCGATCATAGGCATGTTCTATCAGGATGGTTTGACTGGGTCTGCATGGGGTGATTGGGAGTTGTACACAGACTCGCCGCTTCGATAAACAGTGAGTGGTCGTGGATCCGTCTGCCGCTTCACCATTCTTCAGCGGGGATTTGCCTTTATTAAGGGAATGGTTTTCCCCCGCGCCCTGCTCGGCGCTGTTGGAATTGTGATGCCACTTCCTCAGTACAGCAGGGTGGACGTGACCGCAGCGTCTTTCAGCGCTGATTCGAGTGATTGCCAAGACGATCGCTGATGGGGCAGGCTGGTATCCCTGTCGCCGTCAAAAAGCATCCTCGTGCTGCTGATGCTCTTCCTCTAACTCCTCCTCCTCCTCCTCCTCCTCCTCCTCCTTCTCCTTCTCCTCCTCCTCCTCCTCCTCCTCCTCCTCCTCATCAGGAGAAGTAGGTCGTCCGTGGGCCCCAGCACCCCGCCGAAGGAGGCGAGGTCCCCCAACAACAAATACAAAAGAAAAACAGGTGCTGATTTCTGAGGTAACCCGCTCGCTTTTTGCACTGCCTTTCCTTCCTTGTCTAGCTGCGCGTTTCGGGCGCGTAGGCCAGACTCCTGCTGCTGCTGCTGCTGCTGCTGCTGTTCTTCCTCCTCCTCCTCCTCATCCTCCGCCTTCTCCTGCATCTCGCCTCAATCCCTCCTTCATGTCCTCCGTGATCCTCCGTCTCCTGCTCCTGCTTCTACTGCCGCTGCTTCTGATCCCCCTCTTCCTTTTCTCTCTCCCTTCTGCTCCTGCTCCAGTGTTTCCTGCTCCTGCTGCTACTTCTTCTTCTTCTTCCTCCTCCTCCTCCTCCTGCTCCTCCTCTTCCTTCTCCTCCTGCAGGAGTGGAAAGGGGGAAGGCCGTAGCCATTTTGGCTCACGGCGTTGTGTCGTACCTATGGTGGGCAACTCTGCACACTGAGCTTTCCAGCATGCCGTGCGCTGACGTCCCTTCTTCGATTTCGTTGCGAATTCCACAAACAGTGCTTGCACTAAGGGGTTCTTATTTGTCTCCCTGTGAAATCTGTTGGGTCAGGCGAGAATTGCCTATGTATGTGTGTAAACATGTACAATATATGCATTCACCACCCAGTGCTTGCACTCAGAGTTCCTTACCTGTCTTCCAATGAACTTGGCTCGTTTGTCGGGTCACCCGCCTTGTTGCCGCCGTCGCCCTCCCGTCGCTGCCTCGTCGCCATCCGACGTCTGGGCTCGTTTGTCGGATCCGCAGCCCTCTTGCCGCCGTCGCCGCCCCGTCGCCGCCCCGTCGCCGCCCGTCGTCCTGGCTCGTCTGTCGGGTCCGCAGGCCTTGTTGTCGCCGTTGCCGCCCCGTCGCCGCCTCGTCGCCGCCCTGTGGCCGCCGCCCCGTGCCGCCCCCTCCGTGGCGACCCAAGCGATTTCGATATAATCGATCGTGCAGTCCCTCCTCCTCCTCCTCCTCCTCCTCCTCCTCCTCACCCTAGATTTCACCACGTAGATTGCACCGGACAGACTGCACCACACAGATGGCACCGCATATTTCGCAGCACGTAGAGTGCGCAATATATCTATAGTTAGTTATCCATGTGTTTTTACTTACGTATGTAAATGTATACATTCATAAGGCCCCACATTAGACTGCACGCCGTCGATTGCACCACATAGATTGCGCACCACATACATTGTACCACCCAGGTTATACTACATCTATATATATAGCACAACATAGATTGCCCCACATCGGTTGCACAGCATTTATTGCACAACCTAGGTTTCATTACAGGCATTGCGCAGCACCTGTTATACAAACACAGGTTTCACTACACCATATATCTGTGGCTCCACATGGGTTTCACAAAACGTATGCTCATCATAGGTTGCACCTCATAGAAACCATAGGTTTGTGTACCGTTCCGTCAAATCAGGCCACGCGGGCTTCGCGCGCATGTCGAACCCATCCGAACGCACCTGCGCGCTTGCTGGGTGGGCACGGTCCTGGTCAAATCATACGATGCGGGCCACTTGCGTGCGTCGGCCGCGCGCGCATGTCGAAATTTGCCCAAGACTCTCGCCAGCGACACGCAGACATCATTACCGTCATCTGCGTGACTCTCATCGACCCCGCCAGAGGCCTTACCGTCGTCATTCTCCTTCTCATCGTCATCATCGCCGCCACGATCATCAACATCTCCGCCGCTGCCGACGTCTCAATGGTGCCACGTCCGCCCGAGCCCGCACTGAAGTGCCCGCGCGCGAAAGCAGCCTGTGAAGCGCGCTGGGGCGTCCCCATCGGTTAACGCCGCCGCGGCCGCGTCGTTTGTGCCACATCAGCTGGCCGCTCTGCGCGCGAGCCTACGTGGATGCAGAGATGCGCCAGCCAGCGCCAAGCAGTCACCGCAATCGCCGCCGCATGTGTTGTGCAAGCGGATTTGCGGGTGGGTGGGTGGAAGGGTTGCGTGGGCAGTGCCATTGGCAGCCCCAAGTTCTTCATGATTCTTTGCGCCACGTAGGTTTCATTGTGTAGCCTGCACCACATAAAATGCACCACATATAATACACCACATGGAAAGCACCATAGAATGTGCGCCACGTAGTTTGCACCACAAAGATTGCACCACCCGTATTGAACACCGTAGGTTCCACCGCCTCGGTTGCACATCATAGATTGCATCACATGTGTTGCACCATATTTATTGTACCGCATGTGTTGCACAACGTAGGCTGCATCACATTGGTTGTGCAACATGTATAGCACCACCCACGTTGGACCGCACATAGTGCGCCACATATGTTGTTTCACATCAGGTGCACACCATATATCGGTGGAAACATACTCCAGATTTCGTAATAAAAGGGAGGGGGTCTCATTTCGGGGGGGGTCTCTTCCAGGCTATCTTGGAGGGCCTGGGGGGTCTGGGGACGATATTTTGGAGGGTTCTCCCACGGGGGAGGTCTGAAATGGCTTGTCTTGGAGGGTCCAGACTCCCTCCCTTTTATTACGAAATCTGGAGTACACGCAAACGCTGTTCTTGAGGCGTTCGTGTACCGTCTGGCCCCTTCGGAGGCCGTCTTTTCCCATCAGAACACCCTTGGGACACTACTTGCGTGCGTTAGGATCTTACGAGAAGGAGGGAGATGAAGAGGAGGAGGAGGAGGCGGAACCCACATGTATTCTCTCTTGCGTGTCGGTGTGTGCACAGCATTCACACATTTTTATGCATATATGTCTTTCTATCTGTACATCTGTACAGACACAGGGGGGTCGACATATAGATATCGAAATCGCTGAATAGATAGGACGCGAGTTGGATCGGACGCCAATCGCACATCTAAAGCTGCATCCATCCCCCCAACCGTCGTATCATCCGCATGGTGTTACCGTCTCTGCACATTTACACACATATATATACACATATGTATGTGTATATAACAACCTGCATACCTACTCATGTTGCCATCGTTCCCGCCTCACTGTGCTCTCCTTGCAGAAAGAGACAGCTTTCTTCACTGCCAGCTACGATCGTTGAGGCCTACAATATTGATTGAAGTCTAAGCTATTGCCGTGGTGCGGGCCTAGTTGGGATATCTGAGGGAACTTTGCGCGGTGACGGTGCCTCCTGCTACGCCGCTTCCTCGGCCTCCCCTCTCCTTCAACCTTCTCTTCACCCCCCTTCTCCTCACCCCCCTCTCCCTCCACCCTCTCCTGCTCCTTCTCCTCTTCCTGATGGTTCTTGCCCCCCAGGCCGAGGAGGACCGGAAGAAAAGGATGGAGGCCGCGAAGAAGAAAAAGGCAGGCGGAGACGAGAAGGCCTCCCGCACAGAAGGATGGTTGTGGGATGATGATGATGATGATGATGATGATGATGATGGTGATGATGATGATGACGGTGATGGTGACGATAACGATGACAATGATGATGATGATGGTGATGATGATGATGATGATGATGCCGATGATGGTGATGATGATGATGATGATGATGATGATGATGATGAACATGCTGATGCTGCTGATGGTGATGATGATTATGGTGATGATGCTGATGAGGATGTTGATGATGGTGGTGGTGGTGGGTGATGATGATGACACTGCTGCTGCTACTGCTGATGATGTCATGATTACCATGCTGATCACGCCGTTGGTGAGAGTTGAAAGCGCTCTGAGCATTCTTCAGTGCTTGAAGTATTCGCGCCTGGAGAGCTGCAAATACTATGCACACATCGAGACCGTTTCATCCGACGAGTTTATTCGGTATTTTATGGCTGCCTTCACTGCCGCGCCATTTTTCGGGCTGGTTTATTCCGCGCGCTCTTTCGTCTGCCGCTGCCTGTTCCCACAGCTGCCAAGGTCTAGCGACTGGCTTGACCCATCGCGTGGCCTGATGCGTGTAGAGCGGTAGAGCGGGGCGGCTGCCAGAACGGGCCTTCCAGCGCAAAGTCCAGTAGGCATCGCCCAAACATGCTTAAACTATGTGTGCGTCGCCCCCCCCCAGGGGCGACGCGCGCGCTGAGAAGTCTTACAGTATCTGCTCGGTGGCGGGCCCTCTCTGGCCATACCGCCTTGGTGGCGATACATGCAATATGATGTTTGAACTGTATGCTCGTTTCGGATGAGCTCCTCCAATGTCGGCACGCAGTACTCGAGTGTCTTTTTGCGTTCCATTCAGACTGGCGACACACATTTGATGAGCAGGCTGGAGACGGTCCGACACGGGCCCAGAGGCTAATTGGCCGTTGTTTGGGGGATCTCTGCGCACTTGGGAACGTTGAAGAAGCGGGGCGTCCTGGTCTTCTTCCCTTCCAAATGCCGTTTTTCAGGTAAGGGCTTTGGCACGGGGTGCTTCCTTGTGTTGTCAGGCCTTGGCCCAAGACCAGAGGGTTGTCGGGGCTGCACATTGTGCACGCGTCGCCACTTCCGTGGGCTCCTGGGATGTCTAGCGGAGTCGTTAGTCACGCACACGTCATCGAGACCTCGCGTTTCATTGGCTGGCTGCGAATTGCGCAAGTGTCGTTCTTTTCGTGGACTCTTGTGGGCTCCACCAGAGCAGATTGCCATCGCAACGTATTCTTTTCCATGGAGCGTTCATATGAGTACTCGGCCCGAGTGGAGGAACGCTTGGGTACGCCTCGGGTACACGTTTCCCACTCGCGCCTCTTTTATCCCCTTCCACTTCCTCGGACCGCTGCCATTCAGCCCCTTCTCATCCCTCGCACCCTTTCCAATTTTCCTTCACTTTTTTTCAACCTCAAGTGACGGGGGTCCCTGGCCCGTGGGGTCAAGGGGCCAGCGCGGTCGCTTGTGCCCCCCTCGACCATTCTTCCCTGACCCTCTTGTTTTCCCCTCGGCTCCTTTCTCCCCCTCCCCTCCCTCCCTGGTCGGCGGGGGGCTGCAACTCCTCCGGGACGCCCTCACACGATTCGGGTTGAACGACGAGCTTCGCGAGGCACCCCTCCCTCCTGGAGAAGGGGGGGAAGCGCCAGCGTTGAGAGTCGGATGTGGGAGGAGGGCGATGAGCAGCAGGTGCGACGGAGCAGGTGCGACGGAGCATGGGTTTCAGACGTGCCATCAGTCGCATTCACATTTGTCCTTTCGTGCACGTGTGTATATTGTGCATGCCCTGCGCGGCAGCCAGTTGGGGTGTTCCCAAAACGCGTCGCTCACACTAGACGGCGTCCCGAACTGCGTACCGAAACGAGTCTCACATGCCCAACTCCCCTGCTCACACCGCTCCTCCTTCTCCTAGACTTCGTGCAGTCATTCGACGAGGGGCCATCCTCTCACTCTTCGTTGAGCCAGCGTAGGCCGACGAGGAGAAGAAGGACGAGGATGTGCCGATGGAGGAGGAGCTCCCGCGCGTGCCTGCGCGCAGACTTGGAAGGCCTGCGTTGCACCTGTCAGTCAAATCTTCCCCTTTCCCCTCCCCCGACGTGGTGCGCGAGTGAGCAGGGGGGGCAAGAGGGGGACAGGCGGAAGGGAGGATGGCGAGTTGGAGAAGAAGGAGAGGACGGGAGGCGGGTGGAGGAGAAAGATGGAACAGGATTGACGACAACCCTGGAAGGAGTAGAAGGATGAGGCGGATGAGGAGGAGGAGGAGGAGGAGAAGGAGAGGTAGGAGGAGGAGGAGGAGGAGGAGGGTGAGGAATTGATAATGCTGATGATGATAATGATGCTGCTGCTGCTGCTGATGATGATGGTAATGCTGATGCTGATGCTGATGCTGGTGCAGATGCTGATGATGCCGCTGATGATGATGACGATGACGCTGATGTTGATGATGCGGATGCTGATGCTAATGATGCTGACGCTGATGTTGATGAGGATGCTGAACATGATGATGTTGTTGATGATGATGATGCGATGCTGGTGACTATGATGCTGGAGATGATGATGGTTATTTTGATTATGATGATGAAGATGATGAGGAGGCGGATGCGGATGCTGATGCGGATGATGATGCTGATTATGATGATGGTTATAGTGATGTTGGTGATGCTGATGATGGTAAGGATGCTGATGACGATGATGCTGCTGATGAAGATGATGCTGACGATGACGCTGATGATGATGACGACGATGATGATGGTGGTGATTTTGATGATGAGACGATGATGATGCTGATGATGATGATAATGCTGATGCTGATACTGATGATGCTCATGCTGATGCTGATGCTCATGACGATGATGATGCTAAGGATGATGATGATGATGATGATGATGCTGATGATGCTGATGCTGATAATTATGATGAAAGCGATAATGATGCTGATGCTGATGATGCTGCTGCTTCTGATGATGATGCTGACGATGCCGCTGATGGTGATGATGATGATGATGATGATGATGATGATGATGATGATGATGATGACGGTGCTGATGGTGATGATGTTGCTGATGATCACGACGATGACGATGATGATGATTATGATGAT